CTGTTTGGCAGGAGTTACTAGCACATCACTCAGGGTCCTGTCACATAAAAGCAGGTTACCATGGCCTCTCTGTCCCTTGTCCTTAGCTCTACTTCTCTGCAATTGAATCAGACCCTGGGCCTGAGCCTGAGCATAGGTTTTGTCTTTTTTTAAAAAAGCTTTCTACCTGGTCTAATGCATTCTCAGTATGGCCCTTGACAGAGATGAGTTGACACAGGGGCCATGCCCCTTCTTGGATGAATGACCATTTCAAAATAATGACCTCTAAGCACTGGCTGTCCAGAAGCCAGGAGCCACCTATAGTTTCCTTATGAGGGGAGAGCTTGAACCCTTACCTACCCACTTGCTCCTGACAAATATTTGGCAAGCGGGCTTCAAGGCTTGCTCACAGCCTGGGAGTGCCTTATCTCCCAGGTATGGGTACTGCGCCTGTTCCCTGTTTGTTCTCTGTACACTTAGTAGGTGGAGTGGGGTGGGAACTGGCTGTGGTCCCATGATTCACACTAAATCTCAGCCTTCCACGGCTTACCCTTTTCGGAGCCCTCTTCTGCTGTGCCGCACCCTACCTTGTAGCTGGCTGCCTGGTTCTGAAGCCCTCATGGCTGCTTCTGAAACCTCTGGGCTCAGCCTGCACCTGTCCTCCCCTGGAAAGCCGCTCCTTGACCCTTGGGCCTATTAACCAGCTGAGCCCATCTCTTCCTTCATGGCTGGGTTGAGACCATGAAGCAGATCAGGCTGCTTTGACCACCTGAGGACTGGCTGTTGGTCTTCACTGGACAGTTGGCCCTGGAGGATGCTCAAGTCTGTTATATAAAGTAGTGTAATGTTTTTCTGTACCCTGAGCACATCCTCCTGTGCATTTAAATCATCTCTAGATGACTTTTAAAAACCTAATATAGGGGGCTGGAGATTTAGCTCAGTGGTTCTGCCACCTGCCTCGCAAGCACAAGGACCTAAGTTCAATCCCCGGTACCAAAAACAAAAAACAAAAAAACCAAAAACCTAATACAATATAAATGGTTGTTTAGGGTATAATAACAAGGGGGGAAAGCCTGCATTATGTTCAATACAGATGATGTTTTTTTTCAGAGTATTTTTGATCTACAGTTGGTTGAATCCATGGATGCAGACCTGTGGCTATTCAGGGGCAGCTGGAAAGGGCTGCTGATGCGCCTGACTCTGCTGGGTGCTCAGCCTCCTGGGTGAGCCACATCTTCTCCCCCGCCATGGTTGGGACTGGGCACAGGGCCAGAAGCTTCACACTCATGCCTATGTCTGTGGTTTCAGCCAGTTCACACCAGCCACAAGTGGGGAGACATTGGCCAGTTGCCACTCCCACAGGAGGAAGTTGAGGCTGAACCGCTTGCCAGTCTCTGCTGTGCCATGCAGACCCAGCAGAGCCCTTGATCATCCCAGCTGTTGCAGCTGCCAACATGCGTTCCCCCTGGCCTTCTCATGTCAGAGACCAGGGCAGAAGGCCACGCTCCAAAGGCAAGGGGTGCTTTGTGTGGCCAGCTGAGACAGAAGCTGTTTCTATCTCAGGCATCTGTCCAGCCCTGCCCTTGTGTGTGTCCCCTTCCTCCTACTCATCCCCTCAGGGTTGCTCTGCACAACCTCACTCCCTCCCACGATGCTCCCTGTGGCTCCATCCTGTGAAAGTGGTGGCACTCTGTGCTATGCCCCAGGTACCTCCTGGGCAGGGTGGTAAGGATCACAGGAGAGCCCCACTGCTCTCTTCTGGGAGCAAGGACCTGGGGTCATAAAGATTTCATCTCTGCTGAGGAGATGACGTCCATGCAAGGCGTGACAAGATTCTGGGATAGACGGGACATCTCTCCTGTAAGAACGTCCCTGGGAGCCAGGGTATGTATCCTTGGCTCTTTCTGGCTTAGAGATGAGGCACCCCCATAGAGTGTGGGGTCTGCGGTGGTAGAGTTAATCTGTAAGAGTCCCCACAAGAGATGGTTTCTCACCTTAAAGACATGATGCTAAATGAAAGTGAGTCACAAAAGTCCATATATTATATGATTCCACTCACAGGAAAGTTCAGAACAGGAAATCTATAGAGACACAAAGTAGATTAGTGGCTGCTGGAGCAGGGAGGAAAGCAATGGCTAATGGTTATGGGATTTCATTTTGAGATGATGGAAAATGTTCTAGCATTGGCTGTGGTATTGTTTCCCATATCTGTGCATTTATTAAACACCTCTGAATCATGCACCTTCTGTGGGTGAATTGCATACTATGTGAATTACATCTCATTAGAGCTGTTTTTAAGCGAGACTTTTTCACCCACCATGAAACTATGAAACCTACTATTGTAGATAAACCATGCAACAATTTTTAATTTCCACCTAAATTTTAAAAGGACCTCTCTGCAGGATAATGCATCCAAGGCAACACAGGATCCTGAGGTCCACCTGGAGCCAGAGGCTGGGCTTGCGCACAGTGGGATTTGTTCTGTGGGCAGCTGTGGGCAGGGGTGCTGACTGTAGACTCCAGAGATCCGCATGAAAGCATGCACACATAAATGCACATTTGTGTGACAGACAGAGGCAGAGAGATGGAGAGAGAGAATGCATTTTTCCTGGAAGCTGAAATAGCCTTCATCAGACTGGAGCAAATACACCCAATGTTTCAGCCCATTGTTTTCTCCTGCATGGCTCAGTCACTTGAGTTCAGTTCAAAGCTTGCATGCAGCAAAAGACACACACCAGGCTGGTGCCCGCACTCTGGCTATGTCCCATTTTCCTGCTCTTGAGTCCTGACCCTTCTCAGGCCACATAGGGAAGCAGGAAGCAGGAAGAGGTAAAGAAAGATGGCTCTGCAGATCAGTCACTGAAAGCCACACCTCAGGTGGCCACATCCACACATCACCTGGGCATTCATTTACTTGTATATATTTGACAGTTAAATTCCCCAAATTGTGATGTTGTTACCGTGAACCTAAAAACAATGCCATTGTCCAATTCAATGCCTTCCTGTGCTTGCAGAGAATCCCAGACACCTGGCTGTACCCTGAGCCTTTCTTGCTTGGTCAGAATGACCCAGTAGAGTAAAAGAGAACTGTTTCCCTGTGTTGGCATGCAGTTCCTCAACACTAAGTCCACTGGCCTGCCATGAGCACCCCTCTGACCCACTGGGTTCCACACAGGTTCCATAAAGGAGCGCTCCCCTCAATGGACAACTCACACTGCTCCTAAGTCATTTCAGCTTAGCCACATGCGTCTACCAGGAGACTAAAGGCAAGTTAATCAACCCGGATGGGAATGGCTGTGTGGCTCTTCCTGGTGTCCCCAGGAGCCAGCTGCCTCCCATGAGTAGTTTACCTACTTCCACCTGGTCCAGGAAAGTGCCACTTTACCACTAACTAAATAGAACAGTGTTCAAGCTGAGGGCCACAGAGATGTTTAGGACTCCCTGTGAAAAGATGAGCCTGGACCTGGCATGGGCTCAACCCTCAGATGGTCACATGGGTGGCTTAGGAGAGGGATGTCCCAGGCCAGTGCTTCTCCATGCCCACTACATGGACAGATCCATTTGACTTTCATTTCTTCATGCCACTCTTATACCTCCTAAAACCAAGTTTTGCTCAGCCAGGTACATGCATGGGTCCCTTTGCCAGTGTGCATTAAGGAAGGGGCCAAGTCCCATCTGTCTGATCTTATACTCAACTGTGGATAAAATCTGCACACACATATTGTTCTTGCAGTCTAAGGATTCTTATTTAGTTGATTTTGCTCCACTTTGTATAAAGTGTACAGTGTGTTCCTCTGGCTCTAACATAACTTTTGACAATCAAATGTCCATCAGTGGACAAAGTTTTCAGGTCAGAGATGCCCACATCTGATTCATTCAGGACAACTGAGTTTTGGTAAATCTAGATTCTCCATGGCACTGATTTTTCTATCTAAATGTAACTTTGTTGATGTTGCCCAGCCAAGAGGCTCAGAGGACACCTGCAAAGAGAGTGGTATCTCTGACCTGCAGGTGGGCAGCTGATCCAGGGAGATGGGGTCCGGGTATTGTGAGTTCTCACCACAGGGAATGAGGGACCAGGAGCCCAGCCCATTCATGGCCCCAAATGCTCCTCAGTACTTTGGATACTGCTGGCTGCAAAGACTTCTGCACAAGGGTCTGGACCCTGTCCTTACCTGGGAGGGGTACAGACGGATGAAGCTGATTTCCCGTGAGGGTGAAGAGGATCAAGGAGAAGTGGAGAAATCCTAGCGCTAGGTGCCTGAAGATGCCACCAGAGGTGTTAGAGGCCCCTGTGCTTGTCCTTGTGCTCCTCCCTAAACACAGCTCATGGCCCTGGCAACATCGGCTGTTGTGTTTTTGGATAACCTGGGTGTGTTTGTCTCTCCTCTGTCCTTAGACATTGGATGGGACAGGACCAACCCAAGCTCACTCCACTCCAGCCCCAATGATAACAGCTAGGGCATTTCCTGAAACTGGCAATAAGGGTTAAAGTCTTTTAAAAACACAACAACAAAAAAACTAATAACATAGGATGGCTAAAGAGTTTGCTATCGTTTCATTAAAAAGTGTATTTTAATAGCAAAGCAAATGGGGAAAATAGTATCTCAGAAGAAAAGCTAGTCTTTCTAATGATAATATTGGATGCTTTAAGTTCTTCCTTGGAATAACAATTTAACTTTGCTGACATCTGCCTCAGTTTTCCCATCTGATAAATGAGTTAGTACCTCACTCATAGAGTTGTTACAAGAATTAACTAAGTCCAATTTGTAAAGTGCTTAGGACAGCACCTAGCATATAAGTGTAATGCAAATATCTGTGTAAAATGAAGAAATATGAAAAGCAAGGCAGCGGGCACTTGAAAAAACTGAGATTAGAGACCTAGCCCAGGGCACTGCCCTGTTCTCTTTGCCTCCTTCCTGTGTTTCTGCATCCCCAAGGTCCCCCTGTGACCTGGGGGCCAGGGCCTTTGGGGGCTGGAGCTCTTCTCCTCCCACAGTGCTTCTGCCTCTCTCCTGCAGGTCTTCGGGGGCCTCGTGTGGATCCTGGTGGCCTCCTCCCGAGTGCCCATCCCCCTGATCCAGGGCTGGGTGATGTTTGTGTCTGTGTTCTGCTTCATGGCCACCACTGCTCTGCTCATCCTGTACATAATTAATGCCCATGGTGGGGAGACATCCTGGATCACTCTGGTGAGTTCCAGCTGAGTGTGTTTGGTGGGGGAGGTAGTATTGGACCCTCTGCTGCCCTGGGAGGCTGGCCTGTGTAGGGATGCCCTGTGGATGCCTCCCAGCACATTCCAGGTGAGCTGGCCCAAGCCTCAGCTCAGACTCTGCACAGTGGCCCAGGGTTCCCTGCAACACTGACAGAAAGTAGAGGCAGAGGGTGATGGATTTGCTGCTGATTCACATTGAGCTGTTCTGCTTTCTCTTCCTTCACTGTTTTACACCAACCAGCAGCAGCCCAGCTCCTCCCCACACCCACTACACCTGCCGGGCAGCTGGCATCAGCCAGGCTGTTTCCATCTTGGAGCAGCAAGGTCCCAGGTGTTGACCTTCATCCAATGGTTCCCCCAACCAGTGGCCAGGCCACACTCACTGCCCAGCCCCCAGCCACTACCTCCCAAGTAGGGCTACCAGAGAGGATTTGGGGACAAAAATGGCCTGTTGTCTTTCTTCTGTGCAAATCCTGCTTTGGGGCCCTGGAAAAAGACATTTATATAAGAGACACCTTCTGGTTTTTTAGGCCTCTGCCTCCCTAAAGGCCTCCTACATAGACTTTTGAAATCGCTTCCAAAATACAACTATGCAAAACTGTGTTTTAATTCCTTTCTTTTGCTTTAAAATATACAAGGAGCCAAAACAAATAAATAAAGCCAATAAAAACAAAAACAAAAAAACAATAGAAGAGGCCCCAGTCTCTCTCACGCTCTAATAGGCAAGTGGGGCCCATCTGAGTCAGAACTGAGACAGCATATGACACATCCTGTGTCATATCCCAAGGTGCCCCGCAACTTCTCAGCTGACCCCACCGCAAGGGAAAGCAATGCCCTTTCTCCAGCCAAGTGTGTGTGTCCCTGGGTCCAAGCCCCAGAAATATAGCTTAGCTGGATAGCACTGTTCAACCCACTTCTGGGAGGAAAGGGTTTTGGGGCCAGGGAGTGGGACTCAAGGGAAGTAGTAGGAGATAAAGAAGAGACCTGAGCAGGGCCTGGTGGAGGCAGAGTGGGTTGATTACATCTCCACATCTAGGCTGGTGTCCCTTTCTCTCCATCTCACACCTGCTCTCTCCGCCCCACAGGATGCAGCCTACAACTGTGTGGCTGCACTGTTTTACCTCAGCGCCTCAGTCCTGGAAGCCCTGGCCACCATCCTCACACATGACGGTTACACCTACAAGCAGTACCATGAAAACATCTCAGCTGTGGTGAGTCCCTGGCCACCTGTACTCACTGTCCACTGGCCATCAGCTGCCCTCATTTCTGACCCAACAAAGTCCCCAAGACAGGAAGGGATGTGCCCAAAACTCCCCGAGTCTTCGGCTCAGGGTGTGGAATAGCCCCAGGGGCTCAGGCCTGGGTGGGCTATGCCGCAGGTGGCATCTGAACAGCCAATGGTCATGGAGAGCCTGACACTGTCTGAGAGGTTCCTGAACAATCTAGCAACCCTGTGGCATAAGCACTATTATCATACCCATGTCACGGATGGAGAAGTTGGGCATGGCAAGCTTGGGTCACCCATTAAGATCACCAAGTGTCATCCCCTGAAGCACATGGTCAGGCCTGATTGTCTTTTAATGGGATAGATATGAACAACAGGGAGTGGGAGACTGTACTGTCACAAAAGTGATCTCTCTGGAGTTATGCATATGGGCCCTCAGATCAGTGGGCTAGCTCGTAATAGGAAGTGTATTTCTAACTAAGGGTAGTACTCTAAAAATAAGCAAAATTTCAGAAAACATGACCCAAATTCCTAGAAACTGACGTGTGAGTCATGAAGACAGGGAGGCAAGTATGGAGACAGATGCTGAGTGCCTGCTTCTCAGCCTGCTGTGTCCTCCTGTGGGAAGCGGTGGAGCAGAGATTGAGTGAAACCCATGAGTGGGCATGGGTGGGCTTTGAGGTAGAGTCTCTCAGAGGGAGGGGACTGGGGAAAGGCTCCTCAAAGCCTTGTCCCTGTGGGCCACTCTCCCTTTTTGGGAAGTCACATGCTCCCCTTGAACTCCCAGCCTACAGATGCCTCCCCAAATTACATGGTCACCTCAGGATCCCCATTGCCCTTGATGTGCCTCACCGTGTGGGGACATCTCCCAGCCTGGACAGTTTCTAAACAGTGACTCAGCCAGGCAGCTTCTTGCTTGATCTCCTTGCCTGGGAGGCTGCTGACCCACCTCCCCTTCCATCTATCATGTGACTGAGTTTCACCTCCCTGTCTGGGGTCACCTGACAACTCTCTCAACCCACTTTCAGAGCTTCTTTCTGAACAGACACCAGCAAAGCCCGTGACAATTCCCATAAAATTGTTCTGCATAATGGTAGCAAAATGTAGATGGAATGTGGTTAGTGGGTCAGCACTTAGTGAGAACACCCAAGTTGGGGGCTTTAACGCCAGGGAAGTTCTCCAGTTAAGAACCAATTCTACTGCATTCCAACTTTTCTCTTTGACTTTTTATTGAAAGACAATACACACATGGGAAGTATGTAGGTTAAGTGTGTATAGCTTGATGAATGGTCAGGAAGTGCACTTCTGTGTAGCTAGAATCCAGGTTCAGAAATAGGATACAACAAACAAGCTCCCAGAAACCTCCCTGGGAGCTGCCATCTTGAGACTAGCTCCCTGTTCCCCCTCATTCTCCTCCTCCTAGGTCAGTTCTTCCACTGCAAACCAAATGCAAGGCAATGGCCAATCCTCACTTCCCTCTCTAGGTCTGCTCTTGTCCTGTCACCTCTGCTACCATCTAATTTTAGATTTCTAGTACCCAGTTCACTTTTGCCTATCTTTGAACTTCATGTAACTAGGATCAGAGAGGGTGTTTTCTTTTATGTTTGGCTTCTTTCCCTCAGCCTTGTTTGTGAGATTCATCCATGTGGGTTGGATGTAGGTATAGGTTGTTTATTCTCATTGCTGTACAGTTTTCCACCATAGGACTGTAGTAACATCTATTTATCCATTCCACATTAGATTGTGTTCTCCTGCTTGTTAGAGGAGTTGGACAGGCATGAGTACCTGGCAAAGTCAGGAGTAATCATACTAAGAATTCAGAATGTTCTCAGGAGGCAGATGCACCAAGCTGAAACCACCAAGCTGAAATATGAGCCAAATTCAATATATTTCAATTTCCATTGAAAATCAACTGAATCAGTATGTGACATGACTTTTGGATGGTGTTGGGAGTGGCCATTTGAGGAATATGCACATCTGGGGTACCCCAGAACCTCACTTACACCTCCCTGGCCTTTGGAAGTCCAGCCTGTGTCTCACCTCTCTGTGGCTCTGGTTAGGATCTGTCTCGGAAACTGGGCTCCCTCCCTGTCTCCTCTGCTGGTAGTGGTACTTCTTCACTAAAGAGGTCCTGGATATTGGTGGAAATAGACTGAGGAGAGCCGGAGATTTCTGGAGAAATCTGGAAATTTCTAGATCTTACCATGGTGTGCAATAATGGCAGCAGTTTAGAGGAAAAACCAAAACATGGTCCCACAAGCCCCCAGTTCATAATGTCCTCACTGTGTTATTTTTCTACTTCATTTGAAAAAATAAGTTTCTATTTCCTGCTGGAACATCTGAGGTGCTTCTGCCAAACATTCTCCTTGGGTCAATATGAACCATCTTATTTTTGGGACAAAAATCTTGTGTGACTGCTCCTTTCTGGACAGGGTATTCAGATGAGTTATCTTGAATCTGTTACTAAATAACTCAGCTTACTCATCGCCTGTGGCCAATGAGGGCTTCACCCATGCATGGGGGCAGGGTGAGAGTAGCCTCGGGATAGCTGGTGTTTATGGGCATTTTCAAGAGTCAAAGAGGCGTAGCCACCCCGTATGTTGTTCCCAGACTGGAAATTCTTAACTCTCTGTCCAAGGTCACAAAAGCAGGTGCAGCTATTATTGGATTCAGAGGCAGGCAAGCCTGTAAAAGCCACCCAAAGTAGGGTGGTAGGCATAGGTGCCCGAGTGAATAAAACCAGTGACAAGTGACCCTTTGCCACATTTTCAGGACCTTTGTTCCTAGTGCCAAATGGCTGGTTCCTTCCTCCCAACAGTTTCCTCAGTAAGCGTGCTCTCTCTCTCTCTCTCTGTCTCTCTCTGTCTCTCTCTCTCTTTCAGGACCTTTGTTCCTAGTGCCAAATGGCTGGTTCCTTCCTCCCAACAGTTTCCTCAGTAAGCATGCTCTCTCTCTCTCTCTCTTTCTTTTTGGTGGTACTGGACATTGAACCCAGGGCCTTCTTGCTATGCTACATCCTTAGTCCTCTTTAAAATAAATTTTTATATTTTGAGACAGGGTCTTGCCAAGGCACAAAGTTACCCAGGCTGGGCTCAAACTTGCAATCCTCCATCTTCAGCCTTCCAGAGTGTTGGGATTACAGCCATGTAGCACTACATCCAACTCATTGTTCCTCCTCCCTCTCCCTGTTCCTCACTTCCCATGAAGCTGGGTCACCACCCGTACCTGGGAAATGAAGAATCCTGGACTAAGGTTCTGGTAGGGAAACCTCCAGGGAACATTGAGAACTTATGAAGAGCCAGCAAGCCCGTGCGTCCATAATCTCACAGCCCAGCACTGAGTCAAGCTAGTGGACACTGGTCTTACTGGCATGAAGGGTGAAAGTTTTCCGTGGACAGTCCTTGATACTCTCCTGGGATGCTTTCATGGAGGGACTTGTGAAGGCCCTCATGTCAAGCCAGCTGGCCCTTCTCTGACGTGTGATAGCAGATCATTTTGCCTTGCACACTGAGACCAAGGGATCATCACCTAGCTCACCAGCACAGTTGGACAGTGTGGATGGCCCTACCTAGCCTCTCCTCCTGCTAACAGTCATTTCTCTGCTTCCAGGTGTTTTCCTACGTAGCCACTTTGCTCTATGTGGCCCATGCTGTGTTCTCTTTAATCAGATGGAAGTCTTCATAAAGAGGCAGAATTGAGCTGAAAACCCAGAATGGTGTTAACTCGTTAGCCTGCCTTCCAGCCTAACTTTCTAGGTCACAGACATGATCTCCACGATGGAAAAAAGAAAACAAACCAAAAGCAAAAAAGGAAACACCACACTCTGTTTCTGCAGTAGCATGTTTACCCTCCCACACCTTTGAGTTGGGCTTAGGGGCTTGCTGTGTTTAACCTCCAACTGCTGAGCTGTCTTTCTAGAGTCACTTCCTGTCTGTGAAAGGGGCCAGCAGGGGTTGGACATGACCTGTGACAGAAGCAACAGTCCCCTGCTGACTCCTGGACCCAGCCTTGAAAAGCACCTTCCAGAATGTTCCATTTAAGGGCATATTTCTAAGTCTTCATGGATATTCTGCATGTCATAGGAACTGCAACTCACTCAACAGATGTTTCCAAATGTCCATGGGGGAAGCTGATAACACTTGGAGTACTTTATAAAGTGCCTTTATGTTCCATATCTTTGTGGGGTGTTTTCTGGGTTTGGGTTTAATTTTCCAGTATCATGAACACCACCCTGTCAGGTTTCTTTCCAAAGAATCCTTTGGTTTAACCTGAATCTCAAGAAGCAGCATCAAGTGACAGTTTAGATGTCAGTGTGTGTGCTCAGCCACTGCCCTCAGAGCTCCAAACAGGGCCATCTCCATCCCACCCTTCCAGAAATATCTGCTCTCTGGAATCTCAACAAGTGCCACCCCCACCCCAATTAAAATTTCCTTAACCCCAAAGAAATCCAGGTGTAGATATTTCCACTCACACTTTGTAAAGCTGATCCAAAATATTCTGGGCCATGTGCTCTGTCTTCCATTCCACTTCATGACGTGAATAACCAGCTGGTTTGGGGATGTCCTTGGGCCACCCCATGAAAAAGAAAGGGATGTGCTACAGAGTTGAAAGGATTACAGGGATAGATGGTGGATGCTGCCTTTTGAGTATGAGATATCTGACTGAAATAAGACAGATTATTAGGATAATTAGGAAGGAAGATAAGACTTAGGAATCTGGAAAGCCCCACTGCCCTATTTAAAAATGTCCCTTCATCTCAGGGTTTAGGGAAGTGGATGACATTCCAGAGATGAGACTCAACCTGCCAGCAGCCAGGACAGCAAAGAGTCAAACTTCAAGCAGAGGATTTAACTAGTTGACTTTTTACTCGCTGTCCAACTTGCCAACTGATCTCACAACTAATTGGATCTTAGTGGGGGTTTTGTTTGTTTTTTACCCTACTAGGAATCAAACTCAGGGCCTTGACCACACTGGTGAAGTGCTTTGCCCCTGAGCCAACTCTGGAACTAAATTAGATCTCTGACAAATTCAGGAGGTTCTTTGTTACTCCAGGATCATTGGTACCAAAACTTGGCCACTTCCAGTGAGTCCACTTAATGCAGCCAAAATTTCATAGTAAATCAAAAGCCAAAGGTTTGATTAGGGTCTTTCTAAAAATATCAAACAATAAATTAAGAAAAGATAGGGTGTCTGTTGTATGTTTAACAAAATTTGCAATTGTTGATTAAGGAAATTCTTTTTCTTCAATAAAACTGCCCCATCCAAACTACACTAAACCAGCAATTCTAATGAGTCTCATTTTTGGAGGGAGGATGAAAAGAAGGAAAGAAAGAAGGAAAAGAGGGAAGTAAAGAGGAAGGGAGGGAGAAAAAAGGGAAAGGAGAGAGGGAAAGAAAGAAGAGAGAGGGAGGAGAAAGAAGAGAGAGAGAGAAATTACTTAAATTTCCCAAGGATTTCTCAATATTTCACAATTTTAATCATTTAAAGAAACTCTCTTTATTTTTTAATATCAGCTGCAAATTGATACGACTTATAAAGTCCTTATTAGTCAAAGACTTTGTGGATGATTCTCTGGCACAACTTTCTCATTCCTTCTATCCTGAGTCATCATTGAAATCTGCAGCATCCCTTCCCCGTTTCTCCTTTGAATGGGGTCCTATTCAAACTGGAGCTCCATGGGGTGGGCATATCCACTTTCAGCTCCCCAGCCTTGCAACCCCTCCTGAACTCTGTTCACCTGGGCCCAGCGCCCCAGCTCCTGGACTCAGCGCTCAGCTCTGCACCCAAGTGCTGGCTGCTGGCAGCCAGGTGACCTTACCTGCCGAGAGCACTGCTCCTCTGGAAGCCACTGCCTGGGGAGGGAGGGGTGGAGATGAGATGGGGACATCTAAGAAGTCTGCTGGGCTGTGTGGCAAAAGGTACTGGGCCTGCAGCATGACTGAGCACCTTGTATGTGCTGGCACCACAGAGCCCTTGAGGACAGGACTGGTTTCTGCCCCAAGTTCCTGTCATTGAATAGCCTGTGGCTTTCAGTGGGTCTCAGGGAGGAGGAGGTGCTCTGGAGCACAACAGTGTCACTCTGAGGGTAGATGGGCTCTCCAGAGATGCTGCCTAGCTGGTGACTTTGAGATGGGTCAGAGGTCAGGCAGCTTACACTCAGTTCACATTGGTGTCGCCATCTTGCTTGGTGCCTTTGGGACTCTGCCTGGGGCACCCTGTAAGCCTGGGGCCCTGAGCTTGCTTATTCTCAAAGGGTGCCAGGCTTGTTCTTATAGGCAGGGCGGGCCTCTGGCATCTTGAGAAGTGACACTGAAACCTTCCGGTGGACATGACATCCATGGGCAGGAGACTGCAGAACACCAGCAGAGCCTGACACTGGTCATGTTGGTGAGCACAGGACTTGATCACCTTTCAAGAAAGCCGGCTGCTCTGAGCTGCTGGCTCACCATGGTGCCAAGTCAGGTAGCTCCTGAATTCTGCTCTGCAGCCCCATGGAGTCAGAGACCCCTGATCCTGGGCAAAGGAGGTGAATGATGGGTGCCTTTAAATTCACAGAAGAAAAGATCTAAAGGATTAAAAAGCTGCAAATATCTGAGATGTGACTGAGAGCCAGAGCTTGCAGAGAAGACCAGGCTGGAGTTGATCACCCCTGTTGTACCAACCAAGGTGCAGGCCCAGCCTCACATGGGGCCACTCAACTGAAGAGGCCTTGTGGGTCACTGCAGAGGGCCTTTTGCTCCATGACCACTCCCCAGAAACACAAGGCCATTCAGTGCCTGGCCAGGTGCCAGAAGTCACAGGGCCAGTGCTCTGCAAACACGGGCTCAGCCCACCTCTCCCCCTGTAGGTCTGCCCTCCAGCCTCTCAGGAAACTTATGGTGGACAGATGCCAGCTGGCAGGGCTTCGGAGGTGAAGCCAGGCCTTTGTGACATTTGTGACATTGGTGAGGAGTGGTCCAACATGACTTAGACCAGGGAGTGGCTTCGTGGATCAGCACCCTTCCTCCTGCTCTCTGTGGCCCCTGTGGACATTGTCATGGGAGGGAGAACAGTGTTATGGGAGGGGGAAGGTGTGTGGGGAGGACATGCATCAAGGAGTGGGGCCCACATAGCCAGGCAACTGTGGGTCAAATCCAGCCAGGACATTTGTACCCCTCACCTGTCCTGTCCCTGGCCATGGCCACTTACTTCATGGGTCATCCTCCTGGTGGCCTTTTCCATGTAGCACAAGGAGGACTGGGAAGGGCTTCATCCTACATAAGTCCATCTCCCCCAGTAGCCAACCTCCCAACACCCCACACTGTAAACAGGTATCATTGGATCTGCCCACTTTGTAGGAACTAGGCTGCATCAGCCTTCTAGATCTTGACTCAAAGACCCTGGGTCCCCAAAGCCCGCATGTTTTGGGCCTGTTAAGCAAGGCTGCCCACTCAGGGACTGAAGGCCTCCCTGCCTGACTTTAAAGAGGCAGTGAAGGGTTCACACTGCCAGCCGTGGGCTGGAGTGAGCCAGCCTGCAGGGCCCACACAAGGGCCTCTTGTTCCTGGAATCAATCGGGGCCGGTGTGGGGTCACAATGGGGCCTTTCAAGGAAACAAAGCGCCTCTGGCCCAGCTGAGTGTCCCTGCACACGTGGGCATCCGCCCAGGGCATTTAAAATACCGCAATTTGGGAAAACAGATTTAAAGTGATTTTCCCCACTCTGCACGGTTCAATAGTCTTTGTTACATCTCCATCACACCCGGTTATGGTGGCTTCTAAGAGCTGGGCATGGCAGGCAGATGTTGGGGCTCCAGCTCTAATCTCATTCTTCCTTCATAGGTGACTGGGATAAGCATAGTGCCAGGATTTGTCAGATGGTACCACAAATGTTTCATGAACACCAGGCACAGCTGCCAGGACCTCCTTCCACAGCATATGCTCAGCCAGCCCCTGCACGGAGAACTTGTGCCAAAGCCACCTGGTGTTGCACCAAGCTCTTTACTTCTTTGCTGAGTCCTCATGATAATCTTATGCAGCCCCATGCTGGTCAGTTTTCCATTATTGTGACAAAACACCCAAGGTAACTGATAAGGAAGGTTTATTTTGGCTCATGTTTCAGAGGTTTCAGTCCACGGTTGCTTGGCCTGGTTGCTGAGACGGCAACAGCAGTCCATTGAGGTTGGAACATGTGGCAGAGGATGTCTGCTTACCTCGTGATGACCAGGAAGCAGAGAAAGAGAGAGAAGAAGATACTGGGGTCTCGATATTCAAGGGCACGGCTCCAATGACCTAACTTCCTTCCACAAGGCCCTACCTCCTAAAGGTCCACTGCCTCCCAACAGCACCACAGACTCTTGACCACAAGGTGAACAGACCTTCAACATATGGCCTGGGAGGACTTTTAAGATCCAACCAAAGCAGGTTATACCATCTAGAAGAGGAATCTGAGGCACGGAGAGGTTCAGTGGTCTGCCCAAGGTTACCCAGGAGGAAGGTATGGGCTCCAGTTCCAGAGTTCAGGCTTGCTCTGTGTCTTACTACAGTGGGGACTTCACCAATGCTGAAGGCTCCTAAAAGCACATGAGAAGTCAGGGAAACAACCAGGAGTACAACCTGGAGGGAGGCCTGGCCAGGCAGAACAGCCAGGGAGGTCTTCCACAGGCACAGCCCACAGGAGGGAGGTTCAAAAGTACCAGCTATAGTTACCATTATGAGACTGAGATAGGAAACAGTCTGGAACAATCTCGAAGTTTCTAGCCAGGCAAATGATGGTTATTCACCTCCTTTTATTCAGTATGCTCCTGACAACCTGTCAGAAACTTGGATTGATAGTTGTGCTTTCTAATTAGCCATGACATTGTTAGAAATAGCCTTACCTAGTAAACCCAATCATGCTTTAGCCCCCACAATCTCATATGTTTGGAAGGTGACTGGATTATGGGGCTGTGACTATTAACTGTGATCCATCAACTGACTCAAGTGAGAACCCCTTAGCAGATTAGCAAAGCTCTGGGCTGTCTGTAGATGACAGACATGGAGTCTGCCAATTGAGGAGGGAAGACTCATCCAGATGTGGGTGGTACCAACCAGCAGGCTTGGCACCTAAACAGAATAAAAAGGGAAAGAAGAGAAGTCTTCCCCCTCTCTTTGGAGGATGTCCGGTCTTTGCCATTGCCTTTGGACATTTATCGCCAGTTCTATCAGGCTTCCAGGGAAGACTCTTCAGCTTTCCTGCCCAGACTTTTCAGCTTTCTAACACAGGCTCAGACTGATGAGTGCAGTGAGCTCCAGGCCTTCAATCACTACTGGGTCCTCTGGCTTTTCAGCACATATATGGCCACTTTAGATTCTTCCACCCCTGATTCCACAGGCAGCCATTGGACTCCCCTTCTGATCCTGAACCTACCTAGTAAATCCCTTGTATACTTACACATTTATTTTATACTGATTCCTTTCATCCAGTGAATCTTAATTAAGACAGGGGCACTGTACTGATCAGTGAGTTCATAGCTAAATGTGGTGTTGGGAGGATCCCAGTGGGAAGACGTGGCTCCCTGGAGGTGTGACCTGGAACAGTGGATCTCCCTCCCCTCCCTCACTCCTCTTTCTACTCCATGCTTCCTGGCTACCATGTGGTGAACAGCTTTCCTCCACCCTGCCATTTCTTGCCTTGGAGCCAGCTGACCATGGACTAAACCCACTGAGATTATGAGTAAAACTAAACCTCCTCTCTCTCTCTCCCTCTCTTTCTTTAGTACCTGGAATTGAACTCAGGACCTTGTACTTGCCAACCAGGCGTAGCACCATTGAGCTACATCCCTGGCCCAACCTCTTCTCTTTTAAGTTGTGGGTGTTGGGTGTTTTCTCCCAGCAACAGGAAAGTGACTACGGTACAGGCTATTCCTGCCAAAGTCCACCAGCCACCAAGAGAAGTGTACCTTAGCATCTGAGAGGTTCAAGGTCACCTGAAAGGTTCAAGGATCTCCTTAATCACTTGGACTGAGTAGCCAGGCCTGAGCAGCCTCATTCACCCAGGGACAATAGCCTTGGAAGGAATTGGAAGACTTCAAAGGCCCTGAGAAGGCAAGAGATTCACCCAGAGCTCTAGGCAAGTTAGTGACAGATTTGGCATTCAGTCCTCACTGCCCCCCCACCATCCTCCCCAGACACCCAGCTGGCCGTCTGGCCCCTGCTGCCCTTCTCTTTTAAGACACCTGTCAGCTCTCTGCACTGAGGCAGATGAGAGGGATCAGACTGAGTCAGAACAACTAATGTGGTACACTAAAGACAAGGCAGGAGTGGAAAGAATCCACTGAGG